TACAATCATCGTCAAAAGTGTTGGGAAGGTTGCCTTTTTTACCTCTTCTTTTTCTTCCTCCCCCCACCCCTGGCCCAATGTTGATCAAAACGTTAATGTTTGTGCGCGCAAGTGTTCTGTTATATCCCAACATTGAATAGGGGGGACGGGGGATATTTAGCAAAAGAGAAAACTCTGTTTTTTCAGGGTTAAAACGGACTACTGTTAAGTTGTACAACCTTCCCAACTAATTTTGTCTGTGATTGTAGTACGAACGTTGGCGATGAGCGGTAAACATTCGTGGAAACGGCCATCTTTTTTTGTCCAAAAAAAATATGATCCATGATGTTAGTTGAAAAAGCCGAAACGAAAAGAATCATCAAGGATCACAAAATAATATCCCTTACTCTCAAACAGGGTAGCGAAATGAACAATTTATTCATTATTTCAATTTCCTTTTTCGCGGGTATATGACGAATTCCCCCAGCCTTGCTAGCTTAATTGTTTCAGTGAGCGTTACGTTTCACCGCCTGATCAGTGCTGTGAATTTATTTCGATCTTTCTACTTCGCTCTCTTCTTTTTCCTTGGCTTTTCTTCTTGTTGCAAACTTTATCGTCTTTTTTTGCGTTTTGTGGCTGGCTAACATTTTAGGAAAGGGAAAGATTTACTCTTCAAAGAGTAGTAGGTAAAAAGCGAAATTAGAAGTGGATTTTTCTCCAAAATGTTACTTTTTTCTGATAGTAACTCAGTGTTAGGATTGGTCGGAATATGGCAAAGCGAGGTGTCGGTGGAAAGATCTATCTTTGCTGACATTGTTGCTTACCAACTTATTAGCTTAAAATGAAAGCTAAAACAGGGTGCAGGAAACAAAATGTGCATCGTTCCATACGGAACAAAAACGACCAATTGAATGCAGTCGTCAAAGGGTTAAGTAGAGCGCTAAAAACAAACCTGTTGAGACATGGCTTGCATCATGCAGCGCCGACACCTAACATTTTTTCTTCGTTAGAGCGCATTCTGCACCGTTAGTTTTAATGAGTTAAAAAGGTGCCATATAAAAGTATCAACAAAAATGATATTAACCATCATCATCATCATCATCATCATCATTATTATTTCGTACATAATTTTGTTTTTTAGCCTGGGACCAGACTCCTCAGTGGGGAAACAAGACAAAAAACGGGGTCAAATAGGACAACTATTTGTTTTTTGGCCATCTTAGCTTAAGAAGAAACAAATTGCAATGAGGAAATATAAACCCATTTCTGGAAAAAGAAGACTTTCACTGACGTGACGTTTCATATAAATGTTCCAAGATACATCTTCAGAAGTAATAAACCGTTGAACAAATGTAGAATAAATACCAATTAAAGAAACAGAAGATAACATATACAGCTGTAGTAGAAAATTTGCATATACAAGGAAAAGAATGCATTTGGTAAAGTTTTTCACTATTGACATTTTCATTTAGGGAAGGTTGAAAATCAATTCAATAATTGTTTATTATTCATTTAAAATATTTCCTCGTTGATTTTATTGTAAACTTTTCCTATTTTTCGGCATAATATGAAAAGAGTTTTTTTAAGGACTGGTACTCCTCAAAACGTAGATAACGTCAATCGCGAGCAATGTGTTCTTTGCGCACTCTTGGGTTACTTTCGTTCTGTTTTAGTCAGAAATGAAGCTATTTCGTCTTCGGATAGCCTTTGTTCGCCTTTTTTCTAGTTTACTTCTGAATAAACCGTTAGGTGGCCGCATCTGGACCGGGTTGGTGGATGGTCTAGTCTTAACGGACACCTCGCTAAAACTCAGTGACCTTCAATTGGTCCCTGCTTTATATAAGACAGGCATTTCTCTAAGAGGGACGTATAGTACCTAAAGGTGTCCGTCTTTGAGAGAGTTTACTCTGTATTTCCCACGCAGCCTTGTTTCAACGCAAATATACCATCGATGAACCTCATTTCCAAGCCAATATAATACTAATAAAATTATTACTTCCATTGCGCAAATAATATGTTCATATGATCAAATGCTCATAACATTTAAAAGTTCATTAACTAACAAAAATAAACTATAAAAAGGTAAAACTACATGATTAACTGATTTTAAAACACATCTATTGGACGTAATAAAAAGCTAGTTTTAAAAAAATTGCTAAAAACTATTGTGGTTTGAAAATGTGTCTTAGGCAATATTTAAAAGTACTAAAATTTTCCTCATTACGAATATTGACGGCAAGCTGTTCCACAGTTTTGGTGCCACAGCCAACAAGGCACGGTCACCAATAACCCCCTGGAGCTTGTAGGAGGAGTCCTTTGTTTGACCAGCTCAAGTTGTACCCTCCACTTTCCTTGATATTAGTAAGTTCAAAAATATAACTTGAAGCAAGACTTTTGAACGCGTTGAAGTTTTGCTATTTACCGACGGAAGACCACATAGAATACTATTACATGACCTAATTGTGTTGCTTTGGCACTTAAAAATTTTCTTATACGCCAGCCATTTGTGAGATGGTAATACGCGGCTTTACATGTACCATGTATGTGAACTTGTACGGCTAAGATTAGTGGTAATCCAAGTTGCTAAATTTTTACGGCTTTTAAAGCTAACCCTTTTTTGATCAAATTATTTTAAGGTTTAAACTCGAAGCTTTATATAGTGTGCCCTGCGAGCAGAGGCTACATTTTCGCTGTGTGAGCTGTCGTGCGAAAAGTAGCCTCTGCCGACAACCGTTCAATTTTCTATCGTGCATGCGCGAAATTCGTCACGCGATTCGCAAGCAAAATTAATCATCAGGTCTGTCGTCAAATGGCGCGAGTTTCGCGGGAATAAAAAAATTGCGACAACTCTGATCTGCTACGCAAGAATCACGCAATGCTCTAAACCGGTCAAGAAGAGGAAAAAACCCGTCTTTTAATATATTTGTCCAGATTTCTGTACGGATTTGAACGGTTGTCTGCAGAAGCCACTTTTCGCACGCCAGCTCACACAGCGAAAATGTAGCGTCTGCTCCCAGGGTATATATAGTGTAAAATAATTATAATTTACCTTTACCGGTATCACTTGTAATAATAATAATAATAATAATAATAATAATAATAACAACAACAACAATAAAACTCGCATTGCCAGGATGTAGAACAATGTATACAGCCCTATGCATGTAATGTATATAGCCCAATGTATATAGCCCTATAACCGTAGCCCTAAGGCGCATTTGCTTACTAGGTTATTATTTAAGCTTTTCAAGTTAAAGGGGCTACGTGCAAAAAAAAAAGCATTTTATAGTCACAGTTGAGCTGAAATTATAAACAAGTATTTTAGTCATCAAAAGCATGAATGCTTTTTCGGCATCGGTTTGAAAAAAAGATGCAAAAGTTGGCCAACTTCAGTTCTTTCAAGTTCAGCACCTTAGTCTCTTCCTCAACTTCTCACTTCAGGCACCCTTTATAGATTCGCGCTTAAAGTAAAGCGCGCGCTTTGATTGGTAAACTGCCTCTCTACTATTAAGCAAATGTTAAAGCTCTTGGCTTGTCCCATAGTCTTATGGATTCGTGCGGAAGGTTTCAAAGTACAAAAAAATCGCAAGAGTAACTCAACTTTAGCCTTTGCACTGAGTAGCAAACCTCGCAAGCTATTGTAAGCGCAAATAGCACGGCACAAGGCGTGGACAAACCAGGGGAAAAAGAAAAATGTTATTTGTTTCAGGTCATTGTGTATTTGTGCTTGTTTGTTTTCTTTTTCTTGGTAACAGAACTAGGTTTGGTTCGACTATCTCAAATCAAAAGAGAAAGTTCAAAAATTTGCCAGATTTTGAAGTAATAGCAAGGAAAGAGGATGGTATGTAAATCCTTCTATCTACAAAGGTTGAATTACAGGTCTGTCGTTCAAGCGATTCAAGATTCTTCTCTTATCCTCAGGCCATCGGTATCTCAATTCCGCCCAGAGAGGAAAATCCTGAGGGTCAATAGCTGCCTTTGACTGCGGCAAAGTTATGCAGACCATCCGAGCAGCCGAGTGAGTGTGTGAGTAAATTGATCGAAGTAAGCTCACTTCATACCAAACACGCTTGTGTTCCTGTAGATAAGAAGGCATAAATGAATATGATAAATAAATGAACAATTTAGTACACCTTTTGCTGTTCATTACGAGGAAATACGCAATCATTTGCGTGAAACGGCGACCAATAGCGCGAAGATACATTCATTAGCGCGAAAAAGCGAACATTCGCGCGTAAATCAGATTCAATTACGATTTTTGCATTTTAATCAACATTCAATAACACTTTTGGGCATTCATTTGCGTCATTCGACATACAAAAGAGAAAAATATACTTTCATTAACACCAACATTCAAATCATTAACATTATCTTGAAAATCATTAGGCACAATAGACAAACATTTAAGTGCAAACGCTATTCATTAACATTTTTATGACACTGTTTGCAATTCAGTAGCATTCTTGGACAGTTTTAGAAGGGATAAGACAAACATTAATGCGCTTGCGCAATCAATTGAGCGTTCTTTACATTTAATATACAAAAATATGTTTTCAATTAAACAATACCAATTCCCCCAAAAAATTGGCCTGAAGTTGTTTAAAGAATCACGCCGTACTTCGCTACTGTGTGTTCGTCGACGGCTGCGGCTATACATTTACCCTACACGGCCAGAAGTCATGGTTGGGCGCGACAGAGAGTGGAGGGCGAACCGCCAAGTGTGCGGCCAGCGAGGACGAAACTTGACTATGACCATGGCAATATTACCTATCAAATGCTTTTCTCGGGAGCTGCCGGAGTAATGAATACTGTGTCGGTTTTTCGGTGACTTCCTGGATTTAAGTTGTCTTAAAGCGACACCAAAGGCCGACATCTCGAGTCCGGAAATTTAAAAGCGTATAACAGGAATGAGGGCAAAGCCCTAGCAATCCCACTAGCAGAGTTCGGAAACAACAACTGCAGTGCTTGAAGCCGTGCGCAGAAACATGACGTTGTGACAGCTGCTAAATGTGCTAAGGGGTACCATTTCATGCAAACCTACCTCCCAGAATGTTTAAATAGCCAGGTATTTGAGGGATATATATTTAACGGACTGAAACTCAGGCCAAATTTGTTTGGATTTCTTTTTTATTGAAAATCGATTTTTGCATATTAAATGTAAAGAACACTCAATTGATTGTACAAGCACATTAATGTTTGTCTTATCCATCCTAAGGTTGTCCAGGAATGCTGTTGAATTGCAAACAGTGTCATAAAAATGTTAATGAATAGTGTCTGCACTTTAATGTATGTAAGTTGTCCCTATTGACTTTCAAGATGGTGTTAATGACTTTGGTGTTGGCGTTAATGAAAGTACATTTCTCGTCTTTCGTATGCCTAAAGACGCACATGAATGCCCAAAAGTGTTATTGAGTGTTGATAAAAATGCAAAAATCGTAATTGAATCTGATTTATGCGCAAATGTTCGTATTTTCGCGCTATTGAATGTATCTTCGCACTATTGGTCGCCGTTATACCCAAGTGATTGCGTATTTTCTCGTAATGAACAGCAAAAGGTGTAATAAAATAACAATTTGGCTTGTCGGCTACCTCGTTACTTTCGACGATTTCAACTTAATATCATCTTCCTGGAAACCCATTTCAAAATTAGTGGATAAGGTAAATTGATATTTTTTTGATGACGATAACTTGAATCTCTTGCATTTCTCTTCAAGATATGCCAAATTCTTATGTCCTACGAAAGCGGACGTACCTAATATTTATTTTGTCGTTCCAATTAAACATTCTCAAGCTCATAACTAGTCCTCTTCTCTTCTAATTGTACTACTTTTCAACATTTCTCAGTTCCACGATCCTCTGAGCTGTTTTCTTGTTTATTTTCGCTTCTCTTTCAGTAAGCTTCCTCCACTTTCTTGAGCTTCGCACTGCAAAACCAGCTGAGCCGCCGCGCCGCTGTCTATGCGTGACGTCAATCGTCCATTAATTGCAGACATTTCTTTAATTGACTTCTTCTAGCAACTCAAAAACCATATTATAAATTATATGACAATACCTGACTAGAGTATTGTGTTTCGTCCTCCTCTGCACCACACAAACGTAAAAGTCGAGGTGACAGAAACACGAGTACTTTGCTTGCTTTTTTAATCTGCTGTTCTGCCCATCGTTCTGGTCCAAGATTTACCATTTCGCTGCAGCTCATAACGTCCATTACAACCATGTAACCATTCATTCTAAAGAAATTCACCACAGAAGCCACAAGCTTCTGGAATTCATCGCTTTCTGGGTAATAACACGCGTAGAAACGTTCGGGACCTATTAACAAATCAAAGACAAGTTATTAATCCTTCAGTAAAATGAGAGATGGAAGTGGGCATATTTTAGTTTCCCTTTTTCTTTCATATAGGGATGACAAAGTTAAAGGAAAATACCAGCAGAAACTGAGAAAGGCAACCTAAGTAAGACACCTGACCTATGTAAATCGAACTCTAAGAACTGAATGATGATAGTGGTGGTGGCGATGGTGATAGTGACGGTGATGGTGATTATCGTCAGGACATCTGTATCTCAATTCCGGCCAAACCAAAAAAGTCAATAGCTGCATTTGACGGCGGCAAAGTTATGCAGACCATCCGAGCAGAAGAGTGAGTGTTTGAGTAAATTGATCGAAGTAAGCTCACTTCATACCAAACAAACTCGGGACGGTGACGGGGACGGTGACGGTGGTGGTGGTGGCAATGGTTATGATGGTGATGGTTATGGTGACAGTGATAGAGATGGAAATGGTGCTTTTGACGGTGATAGTGATGGTGATGGCGATGATGGTTATGGTGATAGTGATGGTGATGGTGATGGTGCTTTTGATGGTGATGGTGGTGGTGATGGTGATGATGGTTATAGTGATGGTGATGGAGATGGTGCTTGTGATGATGATGGTGATGATGATGGTGGTGATGATGGTGATGGTGATGATGGTGGCTGTGATGGTTGTGGTGGTGGCGATGGTTGTGATAGTGATGGTTATGGTGATAGTGATGGTGATGGTGGTGGTAATGGTGATGATGGTGGTGATGATGATGGTGGTGGTGATGGTGATGGTGATAGTGATGATGGTGGTGGTGATGGTTGTGGTGGTGGCGATGGTTGTGATGGTGATGGTTATGGTGATAGTGATGGTGATGGTGGTGGGGATGGTGGTGGCGATGGTTGTGATAGTGATGGTTATGGTGATAGTGATGGTGATGGAGATGGAAATGGTACTTGTGATAATGGTGGTGATGATGATGGTGGTGGTGATGGTGATGGTGATAGTGATGATGGTGGTTGTGATGGTGATGGTTATGGTGATAGTGATGGCGATCGTGATGATAATGGTGATGGTCATCGTGGTGGTGCTGGCGAAGATGATAGTGTTGGTGGTGGAGGTGGTGATGATGACGGTACGGGTGGTGGCGAAAGTGATGATGATGGTGATGATGTTGGTGGTGGTGATAAGGATGATGATGGTAATGGTGACGGTGATCGTCGTGGCGATGGTGATGATGATGATGCACGATGATAATGATGCTATCATTACTTTTGGAGAATGTACATGACTATGATGATGATGATGATAGTGATGATGAAATTTCCGATGCTAGAGGGATCAGACCCACTGTCACTTGATCGTCCGAAGCGACCAGACGGCACAATATCGCCTTTCAGTTGTGAATTTGGAGCAATTTCATACAACGGTATGGACTTTATTTCACATCTGCCAAAGCATCGATGATGTAAAACATCGCGGAATACATCGTCTCAGTATGATTTGAAGTTTACTGTCATGATAGCTAACGACGCCTCTTTTTCCAGTAGGAGTACAGCATAAACATAGTCGCTTATTGATTTCCACACTACGTTCGGTCTTAGTAATGAATAGACGATGTTTGTCTTACCTGACTGTTGTAAGTTGTTCATAATTACTGGCAGCAATTGCACATTTCCGTTTGCCTCATCATCATCTGTAAAACAAATATTTCGATGAGTAAGTGAAAATCGTCCGTAATAAAGGCTGTTAATTAAACAGTTTAAGAACTTTCACCAAATGAGCATTAGATCGAAATTCTGATAATTAATGGCTTTTCTAAGTATCTGAGGACACCGCTTGTTTTTCCTGATGTTGTTTGATTTTTTTAAATCTTTTATCTCGTACGGGAAATGAAATTATCCGAATCATCCGAGTCACGCTAGGCTCTGTCCGTTTGCAAGAAAGTGCCTTCTCTTTTAGTAAGATTTTTTCTACACTCTGAGTATTGGTTCGGCCCCGATGATCGAACTCAATCCGGCACCGCAGACAGTAGTCGAGCCCTATCAATGGCTGATTTAACCATGAATATCCAAAAAACGTTGGGCAGAATTGGACTAGTCACCTAGGAAGTGTACGAAAAATGTCAAATTTACAAAGAAATGCTAAATTGTGTTAAAATTTCCAATTGCAAAGCAGTGCTCCAGTTCGAGGTTAATTTAAGAGGGGCGAATTGAGAAGGTAGTCATACAGTACATACCTACACAACATGAGTTATTAATCTTAACATTCTCCAAGATACTTCTGTTTCCTAAAAAAAAACCATCATTAAACAACACAATGTTTAGCAAATGCAAAGATGTAGTTTCATTTAAGAGTACGTGTACAATCCGCTGAACAATACTCCGCGACGGGGCCAACAATTATCACGTCAGTACACATGGGTGACTATAACAAAGCTCATACTTATTGTCCTTCCCATACCAAGTTTAGGCCTTTTGATATTACTGGTGGGAAAAATCTTGCACACGTGTTTTGAAAATTTTTAAAAAAGGTTGATATTATGGTAGTTTACTGTTTGTCTTTGGACGCCTCAGGTACCAATTGACAACAGTAGTTATAGAATACATTCACGTACCTCGCGAAAAAGTTTGGCAAACGCTGACCCGTTTTCGATAAACCATCACAATAACAAATAGCAACACAAGGCCGGCAAACAATCCTACAGCTGCGGCTATAATCTTGGTATGAGAACCTCCTAAAACAAATAGGGGGAGAAAACAAAACGCAATGGTTGCACTTTAGCTTTGACAATAAAAATTTAACCATATCGTTTAATCAGCATTCGGAGCCCGCCATTCCAGCACAGTTACCAATCAGTGGTTACATACCCAAATAGCTCAGAGTATTCTAGCTGTATTCTCGCAGTCCGAAGTGACCGCTGTGATAATATTTTCTCATTACTACTGAACACTAAATATTCGTCTCTTTTTCGTAATGTTTGCTCTGAGTTTTGGAATTTTCTATACCAAACAAAAATGTTTTATACTTTGATTTCAGTGTCTGCTTTACTTGGAATCTTTCCCCGTGACTTGTCAACGAAAAACGAAACAGAAGTCACACATCTCGGTGATGTCGTTCACCATCGAGTAAAACGGTGGAAAGTCAATTTTAAATTATTATCTCATTACGTTTTCTATCTTTTAATTAAAGATCGGAGTCATTCCTGTGTCCAGTCGCTCGTGACGCCATATTGGCACTGCGGAGCCATTCGGAACGTTGCCATAGTGATTTTGAAATTATGAATAAACGTTGAGATTTCGCGCCAAAATTTAGAGCAATTTATCACTTAAGATGTTACGGCATAATAGTCCGACATAGAGCCACATACCTTCAGAGGTTGGAGGAAGAGGTGAAGGCTCTGGGGGATCAGGTGCTAAAAAGACATTTATAAAGAAAATCAGAACGCCGTTCTATGATTAACAATCCTCGTGTATCAAGAAACTCCGCTTTTAAATTTAAATAAATCCAATAGAAAAGCCTCCCAAAAAACGAGACAAAAGAAATCTTCTGACGGGGCCAAGGGATGACCTGGCCTTAGTTAACCTATGTTAACTTATGGTTATAAGTTAGTGGAGGATAATGGTTATGAAAAACCGGCAAACATCAAACTAATATGAAAAATTAACGATGCTGCAGTTTATGTTGGGAGCTTGCTGGCCTTTCCAAATCCTCTCTTTTCTTTTTTTCTTCACAAATTGGTCCTAAATAAATAAATAAATCCGACGTATTCAGTAGTCATTTTATTGTTAAAATGATAGGAAGTTAATGTTATAGGATGAGAAAACGTTTGCTGAAAAAGAGGTTTTCAGTAAAAGATCGAGGATGGAATGAAACACTGGGAAAGATTGAAGCGGCTCTTCTAGATGTATCCGACGCGTACATTTGATTTCAGGTTGAGGTAAACGCTTTTCAAACCAGTTGTGTAAGAGCTGCTCATAAGGTCTCTCCTGATTGGTCGCAGAAAACAATGACATGTCATTCTTTCAATTGTTTCAGTATTTCAAACTGGCAAAATTAGTGTCCAGGTCAGCGCATTCCCATAGCTGACTATGTCCCTTCAAGTCCCTAACATTTATTTTCTCCTAACGATCAAGAGAAATGGTTATGAGAATTTGTATGTGGATGTTGGTCCCATCATATACGACCACCTCATTGATATGGCCACTCCGTTATTAAGATCAATTTTCCTAACCCAAAACATAAATTCAATCACTTCTTTATTACGAAGCAATACAGGCATTTAAGCTGACCTAGCCATAACGTCTACCGGCCATTTTCAATCCTCTCCTGGGGAAACGTAACAACTCTTCTGTTATGCTACCTGACACTTCACGTGGCTGATGAAGTTCGAGTCATTCAAACGAAATGTTTGTTTTTGTTTCAAATTTTGCTCTGAGTCTCTAGAAATTTCTATACTTAAAGAAACGTTTTTGATTCAGCAAGTCGTTAAAAGGGCACAAAGGGCGTTCAAGTCATATGCGTCATATTTGGCAGACGATAGGTCATAGTTGCGTGTCATTTCTGTCAGTATTTTATATGATGAGTCAACTACCTGCTTATTGGACCAACATTTCACGCTTATTGTAGGTCCATCGTTAGTCAGTCACAACTAGGGAAAGCCACTGTATTACTGTAGGGAGTATACTAGGAGACTCAGTACACTTGGGTCGGGAGAAAAGGTACTACGAAAGTTCTCAAGCATTGGCGTCTTTTCTCCTGATCCAACTGACTGCTCCTGGGTCTCCGAGTAGAGAGCAATTGAACGCATGTTCCGGCTACTCCCGAAACAAATGGCTGGCAAAAAGTACCGAGATTCACGCCAAAGATTAGGCGAAACGTCGAACTTTGCATCAGACGAGTTAAGTTCATGAAAAGTTCAATGTCTGTTTCAGTTAACTTCGTCTGAATGAGTTAGGATCGTCCAACAAGTTGTATCCGTCTCGAATCGAGTTGCTTCAGACGGATAGAATGTCTGAAGATCGTCTCTGGGACAAACATCGATCTTCACATACGACGAACCAAACTAACAAATTAAAAATTTGTATGAAATGTTAGGGAGAAAATTTATTACTGGCCGACTAAAATTGCTTTTTGGTCTGACTTAGCTGATAAATTCGACGTCTGACCCAACAGACGATCTTAACTTAATTTAGGTCGACCCAAATTAAGTTTGGTTCGTCTCATGAAAAGTTTGACGTTTGGCCTAGGCTTAAAAATAGGTACTCTTACAGGCTACCGTGTAATGCACCTATCAATGTAAACCCCGTGGGGGGGGAGTGCGGGCAAGGGGAGGGGATTTGATGCCTGGGACTATCCCCGCTGTCGGGCTTTTGATCGTGTGAAGCGACCCCGGGGTCGGGACATTTGACTTTGACCGACAGAAGCCTGGTATCAATTCAGAAGCAGTTACCAAGTCCGTCCCTTGAAGGCCTGATACTCAGGCTAGTCCCTCGAGGCTTCCTGAAAGTCACGTTGTTGGAGAAAGGTATGAAGTTTTCATTTGTTTTAATCGCCATAATCTGATACTTTAAACTGTCATCTAAACAGATAATGTCTATTTTGTGGAAGTTTTTATCTTCAAGTTCCCATCTGATTGTAAAACTCGATTGAAATCGAATTCCACCATGAAAGTCAGAGGATNAGCTAACATATCAAGCCCGATAGTGATGGCCTAGGTGACTGCTAATGAAATTATACCAGGTCGATGCCGCTCACCGTCTAAGGAACCCACCCCAGTGTCGCTTCACACAATGAAACGTCTGACAGCGAGAATATTCCCGCTCATCAAATTCACTCCCCTGGTCCATGCTCCCCCCCCACGGGGTTTACATTGATAGGTGCATAATTCACATGGAGTTATTCTCCACAACTGATAAAAATAAAAACCGTACCATATTTTTCTAAACGCAACCTTGGATAAGACCCAGGATATGTAAAGATCTATAATGAAAAAAGAGATAAACAATAACTTATGATAATACATATGTATTATATTCACCTATAATCATTTCGGTCTGATACATACTTAATTCATTAGATATAAAAAAAAGAAGCGTTTTCAATCGACTCTTTAATAGAGTATACAAAACATTTGTAATTAATCAAAGCAGCATGTTAATAACGAAACAATACCTATGATAAATAATCATAACTTGGTTCGCGGTTTTTTAAAACCCTGTCCCTGATCAGAAGAATCAGACCCCGGCCTTTCGTACACTAACCGCTATCCGTCACCATTGCCACCGACAAAATTCCGAAAAAAGTATAAGCATAACTTAGAATTGAGAACGTTTCAGGCTTTCATGTGTTAAAGATAAACTCAAAAAACTGGCCCTCTCCCGAAGTATGGGTCTTTATAGCTCAGTTGGTAGAGCAACACATTGCCGACACAGCTGAGGCCATGGGTTTCGATGCCGTTGAAGCCCCATTTTATTATTATTATTATTTTTTTTTTCATTTTTGTTCGAGCTTATAATTAATTTGCAATTTAATTAAATTGTGATTGCAACTGCGATGATCATATCTTCATTTAGATTTGTCTTAATGTCACTGATACATCTTTGAGAGGTGAGCCTAGGCCTCTCCTGAACGTAATCAAATTAAACCTAAATTCAACTTGGGCGTGAAGAAGTAGTCTTTTGCTCTAGATATTGTGACTTTATTTAAGGAATCTATCCTAGGATCACCCATCACCAATGATGGCATCAACCCGCTCCATGTAAGGGAATCGCGATTACGGAATCCGGGAAAATTTGGCTCGTGGAATCTGGAAACTGGGCTTTGGAATCCGGAAAAAAAGTTTAAGGAATCCGGAATCCCACTAACGATTGGAATCCAGAATCGAAGTTCCACTGATCGACAAAGGCTGGAATCCAGTACTTAGAATCCGGAATCCACGGCGTGAAATCCAGAATCCAAGACTGTCTTGGATTCCCTTGCAAGGGGCGAATCAACTCTCAAAAATCACGACGACCATTTACGAAAGGGAAATTAAGGTCTCACACCGACTGCAAAGTTCAAATTAGTATTAATAGCAATTAAATTATCTTTGTACTAGCAAGTTAAGGGCTATAAATTAACGTGGCCAGATCCACGCAAAAATATACAGCATAGCGCTAGCTCCTTACCACAAGGACGATGGGGTCAGGATACTTCCAAGCACCTTCTCCATCTGCAATAATCCATTGAAGCTTATCCCTGCGGTACGGATCCTTGTAGCGATCCTTGAGCAAAACAAGATAATTGCTATATTATGTGCGTCCCGGGAAAGTTTGTTTTATGAGTCAAATGAGTTAAGGAGTCATGAATCAAGTTATGTGTCAAGTTATGGTTACGCCCTGTAAATAGTGATTAGGCTAAGCACTTAAAACACTGATTATGGTCAAACACTGACAATAATAGTGATTACTACGGTAACGCACAGCCGACCATAATGATTAGCCTAGTGCTTCCACGTGCTTAAGGTTAGGTTTGTTCCCATATATGTACCTTACGTCAGTATCAAAACAGTTATTGGCAGCAAACCTCAGCGTAGGAGGCTGTCTGACAAAGGGGAAGAACTGAAGTCATCATCTTTGAAGTATTTTTTTATCGTGACCAACACAATTTATTTTTACTTTACTCGGTAGAGTAATGCAAGGATATGCGCAGACCTTGACAGGAAATGTAACTTTGTAGCGCGAAAGTTGAGCCGGTAACAATGTAAATGTAAAATATAAAATTACTGTTCAGTTATATAGCGCCCTAGTAAGAATTCAGGGAAACCAAGGTTGGTGCTTACCATTTACACTAATCACCCGAGTGGAAGTCTTTTGCATAAAAACTAATTCGGGCCTCAGTTTGGTCTAAGAATAAGGGGGTGCTGACCCCCGGGCCCCTCCCCTGGATCTGCCACTGCTGATAAAACTGAAACTTGACGTGGTGGGAGAACAGATAAGCAGAATAGATTCTGAGAGAATAAAAATTGCATCGCCTCAGGTCAAAGTCTACCTTTTCTGAAGCTTCACAAACGGAATGGGGCGATCCATTTGATTTTCCAACCGGAATTTCCGGTTGTCTCATGCAAATGGTAAGTACTATACCCCAAGTTTCGCACATCTGCCCCACCTAAACAACTTTGAGTCGGAAAATGATTAAGTTGGAAGTATTGTACAATTTTTCAATAATGACCAAAGGAGGCAGAAAAACAGGTACAGACGATGTCAAATGGCTTCTCGCCGTTCCGAGTTTAAGGAGGAGTAATTTAGTATAGATACTCACTTTTGGTACTATTATGCAGGCAGGCTGATCTACTTTTAAGCCATGATAAAGCAAACCATAGGAAGTCCAGTTGTAACCATCTGAAAGAGCCGCCACATAATTGTCCTCGCAGGGTTTTTGCCCAGAGGGCAAAATCCGGAGGAGGCATCCTAGTAGCTCGCGCGTATATGTTACAGGTCAAATTAGTTTTCACGTTAATTTTGATTAAACCTAGAGGGATTCTGAATTTCCTTTTATCTCCTAGCCCTAGAAGACAAGGGGAATTCAGAATCAACCCAAATTAAAAAATTGCAACCTGAAATCAAATTTGACCTATAACATATATAGGAAAGTACTTAAAGCTACAGTATGTAGTTAGTACACCAGAAAAAAATCACGATTTGCTTAAACTGGGGGACGCGAGGAATCGTTGGGTGATGATGACGTTTTAGCCCTAAAAACTGCTGAACGCTAGCAAGTACGAAATGGTTAAGATGACGTAAAACAGAAATTCCCAAAGGGACAGCTTGGGTTGATTTTGTGACAGTCATTGTAAAGTCATAGTTTGATACTCTTATGCGTTACGTGTGTGCATTCTGTAATCAGAAGCAGCTGTTTTGGAAGTACTAAGCAAAACTGAAGCTTTCATTTCTTTGTCTCGTTTTACTCTCTTGAAAAAGAATCAAAAACCCACAGACCACGAAAGAGAGAATCTCTTGAATGACCGTGTGAAGGGAAGCTATAGTTTACTTTCACAGTGTAACCACCTATCTCACTTACTTTTACGTTCCGGTTCCCACTCAATAGTAAGATTCGGTTTCATTTTCTTAAAATCCACACTTATCATGTCCTTTTCCAAGATGTATCCAAGACCTTCATGCTTAGTATCAATGTTTGGGCAACCTGTGTTGAGAAAACAAATTCTTGTAATTAACCAATAAGTTTATTTTTTTGTACGAAAAAAGTGACGTCAAGAAATGGGCAATTTCGAATTACAGGCGTAAGTATATGCGCCATCAACGTTTTGCTTTTGCTGTTGTTGCTGCTATATTGTTGTTGTTGTTTTGTTTTGTTTTTTTTGCACAAACCGCTGTCGTAGTCTACTCTTGGGCTTTGCTATGAGCTGATCAAAAAGGTTTCTCCTAATTCGGTTTCGCGAAGATATGTGAGCATAAACATCGTACCAAACGCACCAGCATTCTGCAATAGGGACTTTACGATTCAACAACGGCGAAACCTCGCTGAAAAATAGACTTCACATCCTTTTCAACTTTTTCGCGATTATCCCAATTCGCCCTGTTACTTAAAAGAAGGGAATTTTGGTTGGAGCTAAAGAGAGGGGATCGCGCCCGAATTTAGACAGAGATCAGGTAGAATTTATTGCCTTGCCGTTCTCGTTCTCAAGTAAGCTTAAAATTTGGTCACGTACAGGGACGGCAAAGAAATGTACAAAAAAGCGTGATGCACGTGCTGAGTTGTTGTTTTTCTCATTAAACCTATTACTTTCTTGACGTTTTCCTTGTCGTCGCCTTCGTAGTTTCTTAAAGGTCTCTAATATCGCAATTTCCCACTTGAGAGTTCCGCAGGAATCCCAAGTAATTACACAATACAACACAGGACGTCTTACGGAAGAGATCCGCATTGAAATATTATATTTTATAACTGTCGTCGTTCAATACTCAACTTTTGATGAAACACGACCGTTTTCCTACCTGGCAACGAATTTTTGGTGTCCCGTCGTGATCTTGTCATTGCAAAGTTCAAATCCTCCTTTATTTCAACAGAAGATAAACTTTCACCTGAATCTAGAAAAAGGAAAAATTCTGTTCAGTCGGCAATAGTTATAATTAATTAGGCCGTTTGTGTTTAAGCCTTACCTTTTCTTTTCTTGAGTGAACATTCTCTGAAACACCGATCAAATGAAGTTCCCTGAAGCAATAATAATACAAGAAACAATTAGAAGCTGTTTACATGGAGGGAGGAAGATCCTAGAGGGTGGATCATTCTAGCAGCATATGTTTTCTGTATTCAGTTTACATGCAAAGGCTCCCACCTGTCCCTATACTAGCGCTAGGATCTTAGCTGAGGGGTAGGAAGATCCTAGCACCATGTAAACTGCTTTCGCTAGGAAGATCCTAGTTCTAGTGACAAACCAGACAAAAATGACGGCGGGTCGTTTAGTGGGTAATCAAGGCAATAAAGGCTGACTATTTCGTTTTGCGTTACCACGAGCTGATAATTATCATAATTCTGCTGAAGGGAGTTACTGATGCCAGTAAAGGGAGCAGAAGGGCCCGAATTACATTTTTGGTATTGTTGCCCGTCATTCTTTAATTCCCTATCTACTTGGTAACCATACGGACCGCACTTCTGCATCAACCAACGAAAAGTCGTTCCGCCTTTTCGGATCTTCCTCCCTGTATAGCCTCTTAACCTGGTAGTCCAACAACCTATGAGACCTATCATGTTATAACCTATTCTTGTCTTCTTGTTGTTTTTTGAACTGTGGTAGAATATATTAAATTCTTCGATGACAAATTTCCCACCCTGGGCACACCCTTGATGATAAATGGCCCACCGTGGGCCCGGGAACACACGATTTGAAAAATGCCCTTGAACTGCACCCCGGAAGGGAATGGGCACGCTTGCATTGCTTATATGCATGCGAATTTTAAACTTCTGGGCCGGGTTGTTCTAAGATGGGTTAAGGTAACCCAGGGCTAGCGCAAAATTTGAAGTTCATATATCAGAGCTCAAAAAGCAAATTGAAAATTGCTCTACCAAAAATTGAAAAAGTTATGCGAGAAAATGCGTTTGAACAAGGGAAAAAGAAACTCTGATTCAAATTTTAACCCTGGGCTGCTGCTAATCGGCCGTTGAAAAACTGGGTCCTAGCTGCATATTAACCTTCGTCGTCTTTGACGTCACAATTTGGACTTCCTACACGTACACATTAATAGAAATCTTCTCAACGACCAAAATAAACTGGACTTTGCGCTTAAAGCCTTCGGGCATCCTATTAATTCAAATTCTTGCCTAGTTATTAACGTTTTCAGGAGCCTCTAACTTCATAAGCTCCTGGCGTTGTTCTTTCGTACGCGACAATTGCTCTGCCCGTCGATTTTTTTCAAGCACGGTGTTTCAATACAGGCAGAAACTCATAAGGGGCTGAAACGTGTAACTCTCATATGTTTGCTTTGTCCGATGCTCGTGATTATTCATTTTCGAAAGTACCATATTTGGAACGAGAAGAAGAGGTAACTGACGAATCAAATTTCGTAAACAACGTGACGTAATTTTCCTTCAGGTTCCCGCCGATCCCTCGCCCGCTCAAAAAAATGGCCGACAAACGGGAGAAAAACTCACGAAAGCCGAGAAAGCTTTCAAAGGTTGAAACCAGGAATATTACCGAAACACTGAGCAGGATATTAGTGCCTTACCGCCCGGGCCAAACGTAACATTATGAAACCCATTGACGGCCTCGCAACTTCTTGAAGTTGTCACTTCAAAAAACGATGCCTCGTTGACCCTCTGCACAGTAAACTTATACTGCAAATAGGCTTTTAAAATTCTTATGTTAAAAGTCTAGAATAAACAGTGAAAAATATTTTCGAATAAAATTCATTAGCTGCTTATCGAAGAGTGTCCAAAACCTGAACCTGACATCTTCGCAAAAAGTGATGCTTGTAATGAATGTGAGAAGCATTTTAAATGCTTAAATATTAAACTTAGATGTTGTAGTCACGATCATGTTTTGAGCTAATTTTATGAATGAACAAACTCAAAACAATAGACAGACAAGCCGTTTCTTGAAAATTTTTATTCAAAGTCCAAAAAGTTAATCCTTTAAAGCAATTCGGAAAACACTATCTGGGTTGTGGATCCGTTCACACAAGTGAAATAGGCTAAGCACATGGCAAAATTCAACACAAAATCCATCTCAAATCAGGGCACATTTTGTAATTTTTCTTTAGCGCCGGAGAAAAATTGTGACCCTCCACAGGATTTTAATGCTAAAGGTGAAAGCACGCGCACGACACGCTTTCACTTTAAAACAAAAGAATTTATTTTAACGCGCTTTAGCACGCTTGCAATCTTGCCTCATTAGCAATTTCTTTAGTTTCAGAGGACACGCTTGAGACAATTAAGCGTGAGCAAGTCGAACAAAAGAGCGTGTTAAAGTTTTCAAACAAAAGCTCCGTGCGAAAAAGCACAACACGCTTTCAGTGTGCGCAAAACCACGCAAGGCGTGTTATCTATAGGCTAAATAAATTTCCCCTACAAAAAGGAACCGTCAATGATTATGAACGGCACCCTTTTTTGGTAACTATCGAGAAAGAAAAAGTTCTACCTAAGCGATCGCAGCAATAGTATCTGATTGAAAAATCGTTGTCGCTTGAAAAGTATAAACAGTGAACGGTGGAACCTACTGGATTTATGGGAAGAAATTACAAGGGCTTCAGCATTATTTTCCCGAAAAATTTAGCTTCCAATTGAAAGTTTTAGGAAAGTGGGAATTTCATCGTATTTTCGGTTCGAAAATTTTGGGATTCCTTTCTCTACGAGAAATAGCTAGGGATAGATAAGCTTCGAAAATTGTATATGCATGGAACGGTCATCTAGAAATGTTTAGCCTTCCTCAACCTATAGAAAATTCTAGGCAGTCTTTGTTTCTCCGATTTAATTACCTTCGTTCGTCTCAGCATGGCTTAAAGAAAAAACGGAATAAAGTAATGCAACGTTTTTATTGCTCAATACAATCAAAATGATAGGAATTCTTTTGAACGTTGTGCACTTTCAGGTCCACAAAAACATATAACAAAGGAGTCTGACGGGTTTCATAACCTTCCACTCAATTAACTATGCTTTAGTGCCTCGCATGCGATAGCACGCCTCTTTGCGATTCCGGTCAACAGCAGACAGCCGGAGAAATTGGTTTACACTGATCTCGCATTAATTCCAGGCTAGACGACCATTAAGTGATGATTTTCAAATGGCTATGGTTACGATCTTACGATCTTACATGTCTTACCCCAACTGCACGCTAAGCGTGCTATAATTCGCACACTTACCGTGACATATGGCACGCTACAAAAAAACAAAACGTCTAGCGTGTTAAATTTATCAAAACAAAGGCAAGTGTGTCCGTCTTTGTTTTTTCAATTTAATATGCGCATATCCGTGATCTACGGCACGCTAAGCGTGTCGTGCAAGCGTGTCGTGAGCGTGCTTTCACCTTTAGCATCAAATTCCTGTGGAAGGTCACAATTTATAAAACGTCTATGAAACATTTAAAAATACATAAATTCCCTTTCAAAAACGTAACTGTCTTGGCCATAGAGTGCAAAATGTACCTAAAAATTCAGCAAAAACTTCGCTGACTTGGTTGCATTTCAAAACAGACCATGATCTCCGCCGTGAAGAAAACAAGGTTGAATTCCTCGAAGGACGATTTCTTGATGAAAAGCTTCCCTTTCTCCACAAAAAGAAAGCTGAGAATTCTTTTGAATTTTTTTTTTTGAATTTTGTCTTTTAACGGTGTATTTTTAACCTTGAAATGCAGAACTCTTGTCTTAAAACATCTGCATGGTGATCGCGCAGCAGCCATTTTGTTGAAAATGGATATCCGTCACCATTGACTAAGGTTTCCAAATATGGTCAAAATGAATATTCACGAGCATTGAACGCGAGTTACACGTTTCATCCCCTTATGGGTTTCTGATACAGGTCAATATATGTTTACTAGGCTTTTCATAATCGTATAATACAGTCAGCACTTAACGAATTTCTGTAAAGGGTTCGTACATAATATCTCTACGCGCGGCGGTTTTCCTTCTCACTCTTACCCTCTTGAAAAATCTCAGGTGAATTGAGAAGTGATAAAACAAATATACAAACAAACAAAAGCCGTTGAAAATATTAAACAATCAGGTGTTTTTTTTTTTTCTTTTTTACAGAAGAGTGACTGCTAGCTAGTTAAGCTAGTCCAAATGTGTTTGTAGGAAGTCATAATCTAGAACACGGGAAGTCGAAATTTCAATGTCAGGCAGGTGGAAATTTGAACAAGTTGGTAGAAAGCCAACACTGCAAAGTAGTCGAAATGGTCAATATGAGTTTACCACTCTCTGCAAAAAACCTTATTTCATCCGTGAAGCACTTTTTTGGACCCTGTTTACTAGACCGTACTCGAGTGGACAGAGATTATAAACACAGACAGAAGTTTATACACCTTAGTTTATCAGGACCGGACAAATATATATATAGTTACTTAAGCAAGAGCTTTGGGTCTGTTAGCGATGTGAACGTTGTTGAACGCCCTTTCCAAAATACGCTTCTATAGGTAACAAACTTTTGTATGGTAAAATTTTAAAAATACTTGAATAAATTATACATTATCCTTTCAATGCACAATTACGTATTCACCAGCATTTTGTTGATGTATTTTTTTGTAATTCTTTTCTGTTCTTCATCAGTTTTAATCGTTACTTGTAAGCGAGTATTAATATAGTAAGAAATTTTGTAACTGAAAAGCCTATATTTCGAATTGTAAGAAACTTATGTAATCCATGTATGTATATTTCAACTTTAATCAAGTCTTAAAGTCTTCAAAACTTCTTCATGCCTGGTTAAGCAACGCTTACAAACATAAAGATCCATACATAAGTCAACCACCTGCCGAAAAAACAAGTGATCAATCATTTATTCCACAGCATTCGCCAAGGGCCAAATTCACTTTTTCCTTTTCTCAGAAAATTAAACCACTAGAGCTGTAGATTTAAGATGTTTTCATTGGCGCTGCCGGTAAAACAGGGTGGGATGTTTGATGTCTGTCCAGATGGAAGTTAATATTTCTCCAGCGTGAAAAAAGCTTAACACTTGTAGTAGAGAGCCGGCTGCATTCGGGGAAAATGCAATTGGGAGGCCGTACCTGTAATTAATTTTACCAACTCGCTAGACAAAACATCATGCAGTATATAAATTTGCATTCCCATGTTGCAAGCAGGTTTATAATTAGATACTACTTTACTGATAAAACCCTTTGTGTTTAAAACAACTATTGCAAGGAAATAAATCAGAAACGGCCGTGAAATTGACAAGATGCGAGACAGCTGGTGGAGAAAGGAACTCGTTCTCAATTCAGTGCATTTGATTCTATTCCGTCTAAGGAATAGAACAAAACAATTATAATAAATTGGTTTATACCGTTGTATGTAAATTATTAATAACTTTAAAGCCTTCACGATAGTCTCAGTCCACGTATATGTACGAATATTAACCGCAAAAGCTTGACACTGTGTCAGTGTGTGTGCATTGCAAATAGCGTGACTTCTTTTTCGTCAAATATTAAATTACTAATTCGCGTGTTCTTTCGAAGAATAAACTCGTTCGTTTAAGCGATGATGTCCGTTCCACGATTACATTTTAATGTAACTTGGTCTCGGCGAGTTGTCTGTGATTCTTTACTTTCCGTAGCTTAAAATAGAATAAAATATCTAAACGAGAGATTTTAAAAATTGAATAACCGGCTACCGATTCAATCTACTACGTATTCTCACAATTGAGTGTCTGTTTCATTATGATCTTGGCTCGAACCACAACAATTTTTACGGTTGCCTAAATGAATATCAGTCATGGGAACAATCATGTGTAAAGGAAAGATTTTAAAGTTATACAGGTTATCCCTCTAGATTCCTCGGGGCAGCATGGCTTCGGTGTGATTCTGAGTCAAAGTAAGCTCGACAAAGGGAAGGAGGAACTGCAAGCATTTGCTGACATTGAGCCATGGTAGAGTTAAGAGAGCATAAGTTTTCGAATTTTTCACGATCACACAACTAAAAGCTGCAATTTCATCCCACTTTCTACCAAACACATCGAAGAAGCGAATACAATGGCCTTTAAGGTGAAATAATTATGATTTGCTATGCGCAATAACAGAATAAGTAGACCAAAAAATAGCTTTCCAATCTAAATGATGAATGCTAAATCGTACCTTTCTGAAGGGCTCATTTCTCTTAGAACTACAGAGATAGTGGCAAATGGTTCGTCGATCACGAGAAGTTCTATCAGGCGTTTGATCTTCTCCTCTCACAAACAACGGAACAGACAAGAAATCTTGAGCGAGGCCCAACAGTAGTATTGCAATTCCAGTGGACGTGAGAGTTATCATTGTAACTTAAACGATCATTGAACGAATTTACAGTCAAATTTACAGTCAAACAGAGGAACGTCACACCACATCGACTGCATCGACCTCTGCTGAGGGCGGACGAAACGACACAAATAGCCAAGATCGAGCCCCGGAGCGGGGGGGAGGGGGTACTTAAGGAATTTTTGGGTGGGGATATGTGTCGCTGTGTTCCCTGGAACCCTTAGCCAATAACAGCGCTCGTTCAATTGAATTTTGCTACCCTATACTAGACCAAACTCTCAAAATCCCCCCTATCCCCGAGTAGCTGTTTTCCAGAAACTACTGAGGTCACAAACACAGTCCAGCCAAAACAAAACCGGTTTGATTTTTCATATTTTTGAGTGGTAATTCCCGGTTTCCCTATTCTAGACTAAAATCTTCAACCAATTGATCAGTTTCCTGGAAAATGACACCCTATTCTAGACCTAAACGCTCTGATTTATATACCCTATCCAAGAGTAAACTGCTTGAAAACCATACCCTTCACAGCGGCACATACCCATATTACCCATATATGGCAGTACCCTCCCCCGGGATCGAGCCATACTGAATACGTCATTACCCGAAGAAATTGTGTCGGAGCGCGACGGCGTGGGTTTCTACGTTTGCGTGGGTGGTGGACAGTTCCCAAGGATTTCAAGGCAAAGTCACGGTACGGTCGAGCTTTAATGGTTCCGGCCAAGGTCGCTGCCATGAGTTTTTCAGGCATTTGGCTACGCTGTGGATTTTAACAATTCTTCCGTCATAGAATTGTCATCGGAATATTCGTATTTTCCCAAAATGGTTGCAGTAATCAGGGGTGCTGTTGACGGAGGTCTGGGGGCCTTTATCCCTCAAATCCCCCCCGCCCCTCATATCCAGCCACCCACCCCAAGTAAAGGGGAAGATCAATATCATGGCGTTTCCACAACACTCCACAAAAAATATAATTGCCCCTGCCTCGTATCCAGACGTGTCTCTCTCTCGCCGTTTTGCGGATAATAATCATAAAAATATGAAATAGTAGTAGTACTACAAAGTAGTAGTAGTACATTCAGAAGTACCAGAAAAATATTTATTTTACTTACAGTATACAATATCGCTTTAAAGCCCAGATTTTAAACAGCACCTATTTAATCGTTAAAATTTCGAAACTAAGTCTTCGTACAAACTTAAAAACTGACGCAGCTTTCCCACCTTATATTTTAAACCTGACGACGTTCCATTTTTCCGCGTGCTACTGTTTTAATCAAAGATTCCAACCAGGATATACTAGATATAAGTCACCAGTGCAAGTTACGCCACCGTCTCATGTCTTCCAAGCCAGTGTAGCTGTAGACGTATAAGAATCTGGCCTACAAATTGTATTTTCAGGCGTTTAGAGATTTGTGTTTTGGTTGGTTTGTTAATTTGTTTGCCTTATTGTTTCGCTTACTGCTCTAAAAGATTGAAACGGGCTAACATATCTTTAAACGAATTTGGTCAAGTCATGGTAATAGGAATTATTTCTTGAAGTGAAACTAAACTAAACTAAACAACAAGTAGATTTTTTCGAACCGCCCAAGAAACAACATGGGAAAATGCAAGCATGGTTCCACGATTTGCTTAACCTTTTAAAACACTAATCTTTGAGAATAATCTCACATGTCTCTCGCATTCCTGGGATATGCCCCTTTTGAAATAATCTCCCGTGTTACCTAACCGTCACTGGGGATACGTCGTATTTTTCTAGCAAAACTAATCCTTCAGCCTTTTCTTTCTTTTCCACCAAAGAACATAGCATTGAAGTAAAGTTTAATTGTCACCATGGCAACGGATAGAGCGTTCTCACTTATGTGGGCCAGAAGTTATCCAAATTTCTTTAAATAAGTGGGGGTGTTTACATGAGAAGCGAGGATCAGCTCGGTTCGCCAACAGGGTCTCCATTTCATTGTTTCGGTACTCCAATATGGCCGCCAGGGTGATGTGAAAACGCCCTATAGCAATGATGGACATTAATTAAATTCTCCAAACAAATTACGTACACCTTTCTACTGACGTTGTTGCTCACCAACTTATTAGCTTAAAATGAAAGCTAAATCAGGGTCCAGGAAACAAAATGTGCATCGTTCCATACGGAACAAAAACGACCAATTGAATGCAGTCGTCAAAGGGTTAAGTAGAGCGCTAAAAACACACCTGTTGAGAGATGGCTTGTATCATGCAGCGCACCCAACATTTTTTCTTCGTTAGTGCGCATGCTGCACTGTTAGTTTTAATTATTTAAATAGGTGCCATGTAAAAGTATCAACAAAAATGATATTAACCACCGTCATCATCATCATCATTATTATTATTTCCTAGATAATTTTGTCTTTTAGCCTAGTTTACTGAGTCTGAATAAACAGTTAGGTGGCCGCATCTGGACCGGGCTGATGGATGGTCTAGTCTTAACGGACACCTCGCTAAAACTCGGTGACCCTCAATTGGTCCCTGCCTTTCTTTACTCCTTTGGCTGCCTTTCTATCTTATGTAAGACGGGCATTCCTCTAAGAGGGACGTATAGTACCTAAAGGTGTCCGTCTTTGAGACAGTTTACTCTGTATCGCCCATACAGCCTCGTTTCAAGGCAAATATACCATCGATGAACCTCATTTCCAGGCCAAAATAATACTAATAAAATTATTACTTACATTGTGCAAATAATATTTTCATATGATTAAATGCTCATAACATTTAAAAGCTTATTAACTAACAACAAAAAAAACTATAAGAAGGCAAAACTACATGATTAACTGAATTTACAACATATCTATTGGACCTAATAAAAAGCTAGTTTTAAAACAATTGCTAAAAACTAGTTTGAATGTGTCTTAAGCAATATTTAAAAGTACTAAAATTTTCCTCATTACGAATATTGACGGCAAGCTGTTCCACAGTTTTGGTGACACAGCCAACAAGGCACGGTCATCAATAACTCTTGGAGCTTGTAGGAGGAGTCCGTTGTTTGACCAGCTCAAGTTGTACCCTCGACTTTCCTTGATATTTGTAAGTTGAAAAGCATAACTTTGAGCAAGAGTTCTGAAGGCGTTGAAGTTTTGTTATCTACCGACGGAAGACCATACAGAATACTATTACAATATTCGATATGTCCTATTATCAGTGCATGAACCAATTGTGTTGCTTTGGTGCTTAAAAAATTTCTTATACGCCAGCCATTTGTGAGATGGTAATACGCGGCTATCGCCTACCTATAATGACAACTTCTGTTTTATCGTCATTAATCTTCAGTTTATCACACAAGATCCACGCTCTGATCTCACGAACGCAGAGCTCCATAACGGAAATAGCTTCGTTAGTACTCAAGACATAGTCGGGCTTAAAGGCTAAGTATAACTGCATGTCTTCCTGCATAAGAATGTATACCAGGCAAGTCTCGTTTTGACCACACTAGGCAGTTTGCTGACATACAAGGTGAATAGTAACGGTCCTAAACAGGCGCCTTGTGAAACACCTTGCTTTAACTGGAAAGCGTTGGAACAGTTGCCATTAACTGAAACTCGCTGAAGGCGATTTGACAAATAGGATGCAAACCACTCCAGCGCTGTTCCCCTCATTCCAAAGCTTTTACTGAGACGTGATAGAAATGTGTTTAAACGTATCAAACACAGCACGTGAGATCGAGTATAACCAATAGCACCACATGTTGGCAATTCATGGCCATTATTTCTTAAGAAGTGTTATCTCCGTTCTATGACCCTGTCAGTAAGCAGACTGTAGCATTAGATAAAGGTTATGATTGGAAAAGTGAACATGCATCTGATCAAACACAGCAAGCTCTTAACAATTTCGACACATACCGCAAATTGCTCGCAGGTCGACGGTTATTGAAGTGGTTAATACCAGCTTTTTTGAAGCGTGGGTCAACCAACCCTTTCTCTTTGACATGATTTGTATGTCACTGGACATGATTTTTATATCAAAAAGAGCGGTCAATTTCCATCCATCCATTTCACTAAAAGCAAATGGAATCACTTCTCACTATAGCGGACAACCTCGAACCGTGACTTCGTCGTAGAAATATGCGGCACCGAAGAAAGAAGAAAAAGCTAACCCTTTTTTGATCAAATTATTTTAAGGTTTAAACTCGAAGCTTTATATAGTGTGCCCTGCGAGCAGAGGCTACATTTTCGCTGTGTGAGCTGTCGTGCGAAAAGTAGCCTCTGCCGACAGCCGTTCAATTTTCTATCGTGCATGCGCGAAATTCGTCAAGCGATTCGCGAGCAAAATTAATCATCAGGTCTGTCGTCAAATGGCGAGAGTTTCGCCGGAATAAAAAAATTGCGACAACTCTCATCTGCTACGCAAGACTCACGCAATGCTCTAAGCCGGTCAAGAACAGGAAAAAAACCCGTCTTTTAATTTATTCGTCCAGATTTCTGTACGGATTTGAACGGTTGTCGGCAGAAGCTACTTTTCGCACGCCAGCTAACACAGCGAAAATGTAGCCTCGGCTCGCAGGGTACATATAGTGTAAAATAATTATAATTTACTTTTACCGGTATCATTTGTAATCATAATAATGGTAATAATAATAACAACAATAAAACCACATTGCCAGGATATAGAACAATGTATATAGCCCTATACCCCTAGCTCTAAGGCGTTTTTGCTTACTAGCTCATTATTTAAACTTCTCAAGTTAAAGGGGTTACGTCATGGTGCGAAAAAAAAAGCATTTTATAGTCACAGCAGAGCTGAAATTATAAACAAGTACTTAAGTATTTTTGCTCATCGGTTTGAAAAAAAAAAACATGCAAAAGTTGGCCAACTTCAGTTCTTTCAAGTTCATCACCTTAGTCTCTTCCTCAACTTCTCACTTCAGGCACCCTTATAGATTCGCGCTTAAAGTAAAGCGCGCGCTTTGATTGGTAAACTGCCTCTTTACTATTAAGCAAATGTTAAAGCTCTTAGCTTGTCCCATAGACTTATGGATTCGTGCGGAAGGTTTAAATCGCAAGAGTAACTCATCTCTAGCCTTTGCACTGAGTAGCAAACCTCGCAAGCTATTGTAAGGGCAAATAGTACGGCGCAAGGCGTGGGCAAACCAGGGGAAAAAGAAAAATGTTATTTCTTTTAGGTCCTTGTGTGT